AAGGGGGGGGAAGGGAGAGCAGGTCAGATGTGTAAATAATCTGTTTCTAAAGCGAGCGTCAGATAGTGATGCAATTGGCAGGTTAGCGCCTTGTGGCTGGAGGCGGGCTCGCAAAAGGAGCGTCCCGGGCGCGCGTTCTCGGACCCCTCGGACGAAAAAGGGACATTTTTTTGGGTGGAGAGTTTTTCTTCTTGTTCTGCGGCTCTTGTCTGACGGACTCTGATCGTGGGGGGGAAGGATCGCAGTGGGGTCTTTGGCCTGGGACTTGACTTCCGCCGCGAGCCGCAGCCTTTGTTGTAGCTTGGGAGTACTCTAGGGAAGCCCCCGACAGTGGACTGGACTCTATTGCTGAAAGTCTGCTTACGTTATTGGGGCGAGACCATCTATGTGGACGTGTGGATGTAGTGATTGGGGAGGTATATAGATACTTGGTCTGCAGATGCCCAGCACCTTGGTCGTGGGCCATTGCCTCGACTTTTCTTCTGGTGAATGTGCTGCGCTACTGCATGTAGGTATCCCATGATACATGCATGTACTGTATGACACAAGTACTCTAGGTACATGGCTGAGGTGAGTTCTACTCGATCCATTCCAAGCCATCCTGTGGATCGTTGTATGTAGAAGAACACGCTAATAGCAGGCAGGTGATGCTTGGGGGTTCTCTGGGTGCAGAGTCGCGACCATCCCAACTACCGTAGCCGCCGAGGCCATGTACATGTGGTTAAGCGACCATGAACGCATCGCGCGCCCGCTTTCGCCGCACGCCGCACGCCGCTCGTTCAGCTTTTGTTGACGAACAATGGCCATCAAGTCGTCATGGCCAAGGCAGTCGACGACACCAGCACCAGCACCAGCACCAGCACCATCTCCACTACCAGCCTCATAGTCTGCATTGCACCCTCCTCCAGTGGTGCTATACCTGTCATACCTCAATACCCAGACAGAGCTGGCTCTGGAAATCCTCCACCTACCAACCACGGTAGAGACTCTGGACGGTGGCACGCGCATACCTAATCACCTCTACAAATCTCTTCACCCACATCGCTTGCCAGCCGTCCGCGAAAGGAACTAGCATGCTACCCGCAATGCGCCCCTCGTTGACCGACCTGCCCACCGAGATCCTCGAAGCCATCTTCCTGCACCTCGATCCCCAGGCGCTCTTGTCCGTATCGCAGACCAACAAGCCCATCAGAGCACTTGCCACCGACTCACCCATCATCTGGCGCCACCTGTGCCAAACCCGCTTCAAGACATGGGACTCGCGCCACAACATTGCCGCAAAGTACCGCGGCCCATTGTCCAATGTGGACTGGAAGGCCTTGTTCATAACCAGGATCGAAATCGAATGGAAAACCAAGACTCTCCTGAACCGAATTCTCACAACACAGCACGAGCGCATACGCTGCATCAACGAGATTGCAAACTTTGGATATGATGCCAAAGAGACACTGCTGAGAGAATGCGCCTGTCCAGAGGACGCCGACGATGTCTTGGCGCGACGGTACTATGCCAATGCCATACTGGAGCGCATACACCGCGACATCGCCATCAATGTTTGGAAAGACTTGCGTGACGGCGTCGACGTGCCGATGGAAAGAGCGCTGGGCGCATACGATGTGTTTGCGAGAACGGGAGAAGACGTCGACACCGATGTTGTGACTCAGGATATCGACCACTTGGCCCACGGCCTCCTCCAGCAATATCCCCATTTTCGCCACATGAACTCGAGAAGGAAGGCCTCAACATTGGCCTCCTACCTCCGCGATCAAGACTACACCGGCGTGCCAGACACCTCCTACCGCGCTCTACAAAACTCCTTTATAGGCCTCGTCCTCCGCTCCCCCACGCACGAGTCCCTCCCCATCGTCTCCGTAGCCATCTATTGCGCCGTGGCCCAGCGCCTCGGCCTCGATGCCCGCCCTTGCGGCTTACTCTTCCACGTCTACACCATTGTCTATGCGCCCAAGAACTACAATCTCGACGGCAAATACAAGCCCACCAGCTCGGCAGAGCTCGACTACATGTATCTGGACCCCTTTCGCTCTTCCGACGAAGTCCGCCAAGACGACCTCCAACGCATGCTCCGCAACATGGGCGTCCCATCCTCCAAACACAACACCTACCTCTCCTGCACCACGACCCGCGAAATGGTCCTCCGCACTGCCCGCAACATCATGAACTCTGTGCAAACCATCCGGCAAACCGAAGCGGGAACACGCAGCCTTCGACCCTCATGGCTCACCATACACCCAGACATGGACAATGCATTCTACGCCACCATCTGGGCCATGCTGCTCCTCGAGTCCTCAGACGACCCCGCCACCGGCCGCCCGGACCCCAATTCCCCTGTCGCCATGCTGCGACGACGCCAATACCTCCCGTACCTACTCGACCACTTCCAGACGCATTACCCATGGGACGTCACCTTGCTCTCTCGCTACGTGATTCCCATGTTTTGCAACCAGCCCGAGGGACACCGCTTGTCGCAGTTTGTCCAGAGTATGCACCAGGTCGATGCCATGCCGAAGCGGGTCGTTCGGCGGATAGCGCGCAGCAGGAAGGTGGCGTTCAAAGTCGGCCAGTTGTTTCAGCACAGGCGGTATGGGTACGAGGGTGTGATTACGGGCTGGGATGTAGCCTGTGGTGCAGGCGAGGAATGGATTATGAATCAGGATGTCGATGGGTTGCCCCACGGTAGGGACCAGGCTTTTTATCACGTGCTGTAAGTTTTACCCATGGCCCTTTTGCCATTTCTCATTTTCCCCTTTGCACCACTCTTCCTGTTTCTTCCTCTTTCTTCCCAACCCCCGTCTGTCTGGTGGAACGAACCCCTCCCCCCCTCTTCATCTTTTTTGAAGATTACCATAGACTAATGCATGTCACACTACCCAGCGTCTGCGACAAATCCGTCCGCTACGTCGCAGAAGAAAACATCCGCCCTGTCGCTCCCCTCACACAGCCCTCGGAAGCCATGCTCCGTCTGGCCGGCCGCCACTTTAAGCGCTGGGATGCAGGGAACGGGATCTTTGTGAGTAATGTGCGCGACGAATATCCCGATGATTGATTGAGCCTTTGTCTTTTTATACTTTGAGTCTTTGAGTTTCCGTGTATCGCTCTTCGTAGCGCTGTGTTTTGATATGAGTTTTTGTTCCTTTTCTTTTGTTAGAGGCGTAAGAGGGAAAATGATGAGATGGGGCGCGGGCGTTTTGGGGACTTGAGAATGGGGGGAAGGGTTCTTTTGTGGTAGTGGTATACGGAGGGGTTTAGGTGCAGGATTCATGGGCGTTTTGGGTTTGAGGGGGGATGATGAACCTACCCACTCTGCAGTATAACTCCCAAGGTCTTTTTTTGCTACTTTCCCCGTCATTCGGTATGCCAAGGTATAGTTTTATGTAATGCAATATGAGGTAATGAAGATAAGATTCATGATTATTGTATTAAGCCGGGTGTCTATAATGGGTTGTGTTGGTGGTAGGTGGTATATCCTAATATATAGTTAGTATATTCCCCATGTCATTGTAGAGAATCACACAATGTACTTAATAAACAACCCCATTTCGCACTTCCACTTTTCCCAACACTCGCCCCTCTACTTCCCCCTCCCCGCCCCAGCCATAAACCGATGCAGATTCCGCTCCAAATGCCCATTCTCCGCTAACATCTCCAGCCAACGCTTCACCACGGGCGCGGCGTCGAATCGCCTCTGCGCCGCCTTTGTCTCCTCTTCGCCCTCGGCTTGCGTCTCGGCGATGATGTTGGCGGCCAGAGTGCTCATTTCTGCGGCGAGGGTGTGGAAGAGCTGGGTTGCGTGGGCGATGTCGGGGCTGGGTAGGGGAGGAGCGGGGTGTAAGGGGAGGAGCGGGGTTAGGCCGAGGAGGGAGGGGCAGGGTCTAAGGTGGGGGGTCAGGTAGGGGGTTTGCCATATGTTAGCTGTCTCGTTGTTGGTGTTGGTGTTGGTGTTTTGGGATGTGTTTCCACCGTTGTTCCCAGATAGGAAGTCATCGATATTCACCATGGTATTATACACCACGCTGGCTCTTTCGCGGAGTGCGCGCAAAGGGGACTGCGTGAGGGCTACGACACCGTAGTCGTCGTCTCCTGCGGCCATGAGCGAAGCAATCGTGTCCGAGACGGCCGAGAGCCAGGTTTCGCCTTTTGCAGGGTCGAATTGGCCCATGCTGGTGGGCTGGTGGTCGAGGCCGTCGAGTTTCCAGACTTCGGTACCGGTGGGCACGAAGGCGATGAAGTGGTGGCTTGTTTCTTCGTGGGCTTCTGCGCTGTTTTCTGTGGTTACTGAGACTGTGGAGGCACGGCGACGGGATTTGGATTTGGATTTGGTGCTGGTGCTGGTGGTGCCGCGGCGCTTGTTGGACTTGTTCGATATAGTTGCTGCTTCTTTGTCTTGTTTGTCTTGCTCTTCTTGGGCTCTGAGACGGGTTTCGCGGGAGACCTTGTAGGAGAGGAGTTTGTCGCTGACGAGAATGTCCATTTTCTTCGCAAACGAGTTGTGGATGCGTTTGACAAAGTCGAAACTGGCTAAGGCTTCGCCTCGCTGGTAAGGGGTCAAGTCGCGAGTGAAATCCTTGAATTGGGAGAGGTGCTCGCCGATTTGCACCTCGGCGCTGTTCATGAGGATGTTAATCATTGCGAGCGTGGCACAGCTGTTTTGAGCGGGGAGCTGATTTGCAAACCATACGTTGGAAGGACATTCTGGTGATTGGTCCGCGTTGCCGAATTCGCGGTAGTGGAAGAGGAGGATGAGGCCGTGGATTGGTTGGGGGAGCGATGCCTCGAGGTAGTTCGGATCCATGGTCAGGACTTCGCGGACTGTGACGTTCTCGACGCCCATTTCGCGGAGTATGACGGAGAAGTAGGCCGGTTCGGATTCGATTTCGCAGAAGCCTTGCCAGTTGTTCTTGTCAATGACGAGCGGCGTAGGTGAACGGGTCGCTGATGCGCTATCTTCTTCGTGCGGTGTCTCCATTGATATCTCTTTTGCCTTTTTGATATTTGGGCACTTCGAAGTAGCTTCTGGCCGCTTTCTCTTGCGGGGGTTTGAGAACGTAGCATCTGGTGGCTCTATACCATGGTCCGTGTCGGCTAACTTCTCACGACTGGCAACGATGATAGTGTCGCTAAGGACTTCAGTTGTCGATGACGCAGCCATCATGGCCGATGGCGAGCGTTTGCAGTTCACGTGTTATAATCTATTGTATTGCCCCGGGCTGGATGTAGACGTCAAGAGGTCGTAGTAAAGGAAAGCAGCCACACATGGCGGGATTGGGTCAAAGTGCGAGAAATGTGTTAGGCCGATAGACGAGACAGGCACGACTATACAACGTAAAGTGGACAGACTATTGTTTCTGTTTAAGGCTGCCAAGTGAATGTCAGACGAGGATGGAGCATTACTCCAAGTCGAGGATTGAAACAGGAAAATCACGTGATTTTGCATGATGTAGCAGGACCCTGAAAACACGGCGTTGATTGGCCGACAGACCGACCGCCCTATGATTCTGTCGCGCCTTGTCGCGTCGGTGAGAGTCGTAAATGTTTTGTTTGAGCGGTTGAGGCCCTGCACGCTCGACAAAGCCCACCAACAACAACAATCACTGCCAACCTTCCCTAATCCTAATTCTGCTCCTATATTGTCACTGTCGCCATCTACACGGGGGAAGGAAAAAATAACCCCCCAACTCAATCCTGTCCTGCGCATCTAGCCCCACTCGCTCCTCCTCCAACTCATGAGGTAATAAACTACACCAAAGTCAGCCAAGCGGTGCGATGAACGGCACACCACAGGTCCGTCGGGGCGTGGGCGGGTTTCCTTCGACACCGCAGCGCAGAAACGATGGCTCACCAGAAGCTCGCAGTCCATATGGCACCACGCCACGGCCCAACGTGAACCGGTCGCCTCTCCCCGATGTCCCCAAAGCGCCAGCACAGTCGAGCTCCTCAGGCCCATTGATACCCTCGGACGTGCTTGATCCTGCCCAACAGCGCTTTTACGTCTGCGCCGCCTACATGGCCCTCTGGGCCTACCGATCGTACGACTTTTACACACTGGCCGTCGAGGATGATGAATCACTATGGCTGTGTCTCAAGTGGTGCTTCTTCGACGTTCTCTTCATGTTTGGCGTGCCGCTGCTAGAGATTCCCTGGCTAGAATGGAGCAACGCCTCAGCTTTCCTGCTGTTTGTACTGCATGCGGGCCTGGATGTCATGCTCATGTTCAGGATAGGCCTGCCCATACAAGCCTGGGCCATGGGTCTCGTAGGCTTCCTGTGGGACAGTGAGCTGGCCATTAGCGAGCGCAGCGTCAAGCCGGGCGCCATTATACACAATGCTTCTTTGATCTTGGGCAAGCAAATCATCAATATCCTGCCTGAGGGATCCGCGATTTTGAACCCAGACAGACAGGCCTTTTGTTTGAACTCGACCGTCACCCAGTTGGAGATCCCCATCATGATCAACCAGACCGAGCCCATGGAGATGGAGATTCACCGCATCGATATCGCGACTAACGCCAATGAGACCATCATTGTAAAGAAGAAAGAGCTAGTCACGATGATGAAGAAGGCACGCAAGTCTGCAAAGTCCTCGGACCCGAACGAACCATTAAAACTGGCGTATACCATAAAGAAACCAGGTGTCTATCTCCTGCGGAAGGTTCAGGATTCTTCCAAGTTGCTCGTGCGACCACGTCAGTCGAGTTTGGTTGTGGCCACCTGCCCTCAGGCCCGCGTTAAACCGACGGGAGCCAACCGATGTCGCAGCGATCTATCCAACGTAGCACTGGAAGTCGAAGGCACACCACCCTTGAGCATTAAGTACCGCCTAACCGTGAATGGAAAGCCACGCGGCGGGTCAGAGTTCCAGAACCTACAACCCGATGATACTATTTCTCCGTTGTCAAGACACACTTCGCAGGCATTGGTCAAGCTCGGTCCCAACGACATGTCCTGGGCGCGTCCACAGGTAATGACTGTGCCTCTTAACGAGAGTCTCACAGCCAGTGGACTTTGGGAATATGAGGTGGAGGAAGTGCATGATGGGCTCGGCAACTTCGTGAGCTATGCCGACATCGACGACGAAGACCACCCACGACCAAAGGTCGCCAATATTCGCCAGGCTTTCGAGGTTCATGAACGACCGACAGCCTTCCTCAAAGGCTGCAACCCTCAAAGTCCACTCCGAGTTGCCAAAGGCGAAGCCACCCGCCTTCCAGTCTTCTACGGCTCCACCGGTAAACAGGCCATTGAGTCCATGCACGCAATCGAATATCTTTTTACTCCACAGGCCGACATGATCGCAGATGGTTACCACAGCTCGGAGGCTGTTACCAAGAAACAAAGCATGAGGAAGGGTGAACAGCCCATTATCAAGGAGCCTGGTCTGTACACCATCAAAACTGTCTCCACGGAGTTTTGCGAGGGCGAGGTCTTTGAGCCGACGTCGTGCTTGCTACAGAATCCTCCCGAACCGGAACTTATTATCAGCAGCGAAGACATTGTGGACAAATGTGCAGGTAACCCAATTGGCCTCCGTGTGGGTCTCGACCTGATCGGTACCCCGCCTTTCACCATCACCTACTACGAACATAAGGATGGTCGTAAGATCCGTAAGCCGCCGCTGCAGGTCGCCAGTCTTCGCAGTACAATGGACCTCACGCCTATTGATGCTGGTCACTACAAGTATACTTTTGAGAGCATCAGTGATGCCGTGTACTCTGAACGTTTGATAAAGAACATGGAGCTTCAGCAGAACGTGCGACCTTCGGCGCAAGCACGCTTTATGGAGGGCAGTAGACCTAAGCAAGCTTGTATTGACGATTCAGTTGAGTTTGACGTTCGTTTCGTCGGAGAGGCACCCTGGAAATTGGAGTATGAGGTACTTCACAATGGCAAACGCTCGAAGCACAGCATCGAGACCAACAACGAACATTACACCATCAGGACCGACAAACTGAGTAGCGGTGGAGAGTATGTGGTGGCTCTCACAAGCGTTACTGATCAAGCCAAGTGCAAGGAGTATCTCAAAGAGGAAGCTAGAGTCAACGTACGGCACGAACGTCCCAAGGCTTACTTTGGTCATATTGAGGGCAAGCAAACAATTAGGGCGCTGGAAGGCCGACAAATTGGCTTACCCGTTCGCTTCACCGGCAACGGACCCTGGAGACTCGAATATGAGAATTTGAAGACAAAGGAAGTCAAGACGGAAACATTTCAAAATGCCAACTCTTATCTTAATGTCAAGGAAGAGGGAACCTATCAGCTGCTCTCCGTCAAAGATTCGGTCTGTCCTGGACTAATTGACGACAAGGTCGATCAGTTCGATGTGTCTTGGGTCGCCCGTCCCTCGCTCATCATTCCTGAATCTACTGCTCCATTTAAGGATGGAAAGTACGTCAAAGAAGCTGTGTGTGAGGGTGATGAAGATTCTTTCGACATCTTATTGCATGGTAAGTTCTGCTGGATGTCCTTCATGGCAAATATTGACGTGACTAGGAAACCCTCCGTTTGACGTATCATACCGACAAGAGTACAAGGACAAGAAGGGCAAGACCGCTGCTGTCAAGGAGGAGGAAATCCACACCGTTAGTGGCTCGGCGTCTCTGCGTGCAGATACATCGAAGGCTGGCGCCTACGAATATGTCTTCATGAAACTTGCAGATGCGAAATACGATCACTCGAAGAAGCACTTCACGCCTCTAACAATTTCGCAAACTGTCAACCCCCGTCCCGGCGCCCGCTTCGACAAGCCTGGTAAGACCTACAGCTACTGTATCAAGGAATCAGAGGGTGAGGAGGTCATTCCAATCACCCTTGAAGGTGTCCCACCTTTCTATCTGGAGGTAGAGATCAAGCACCAGGGCACACCCAAGCCCGAGGTTAGCGTTCACAAGGGTATTCCGACCAATAAGTACGATCTCACGATCGAACACCGCAAACTTCACCTTGGCCATTCGTCCGTCTCTATCCGCAAAGTCCGCGATTCGCGTGGCTGCACCTTCAAACCTCCACCGGGTGGTCCTCGCGTTCACATTAGCGTACATGATGCACCCACTGCAACAGCTCTCGAAGACCGTACCGACTTCTGCGTTGGAGAGCGTTTATCTTTTGCCCTTGGTGGCCAAGTACCTTTCACAGTATACTACACATTTGAGGGTCAAGAACGCAAGGCCTCAAACCCAGGCACAACCTTCCGACGCCTCGCCGAACTTCCGGGTACCTTTACCATCACCGGTCTCCGCGACTCTGCCTCCGAATGCCTAGCACCACTCGCTCTTACCAAGAATATTCACCCTATTCCCTCTGTCCGACTCTCTGGTGGTCAGGTGACTGAGATTGATATCCACGAGGGTGGTATCTCGGACCTCGAATTTCAATTTTGGGGTACGCCGCCATTCGAATTCACGTATACGAGGAGTACGAATGCAGCAAAGGGAAAGAAAAGCAAGGTGCTGGCCATCACAACAGAGACGAGTCATGATTATCACATGAAGATCCAAGTACAGGAAGAGGGCACATATGAGGTTGTCAGTATCAAGGATAGGTGGTGTAGTTTTGCCAAGCCTGGCGAGGGAAACGATGGGAAGAGTGGGCAGAAGATGTTGACATATTGAGAGTATGGGGGTTGGGATGTCAAATGGTCGTGTACGAAAGGATGTGTGCATTTGTAGGCGTTTGACGCGATCGCGATTGGGAGCTTTTCTTAGGTTTATGTTTGGATTGGAAGCGAAAGTGCATGAAGAATGAGATTAGCATGTTAGTTATCGAGATGTGCTTCAACTTGTGGGACAAGCAACTCTTTTGCGTGTGTGTACTCTGTTGTTTCTAGTTACCACAGTTTCGTTGTCATACCGGTAACCACATCGCTAAATCAAGCGAGAAACAGCGTAGGGATGGATCAGCAATCGTGCCGCTGTCATCTTACAATTCACAATGCAATGCAGCTTTAGCAAGCGACACGGCGCGCACCCATGGCCCATGGAAAGAAGCTTTACGCGTCTACATTGTCGATCAAATCTTAGGAATGCTTCAATCTCACGTCCAAGAGGCCGACTCCACTCGGCCCCGTGCAGATCCACCTGGGCACCGTTGTTGCCGAACTAGCACCTTGGCAAGGGAACTCCCACGGCGCCAGGAGCAAGGTCGGAGGCCACCCAGCATGCCTTCCGGGCATGCCCTCGCCCTTTTTCAGCTTCTTCAGCTTGCAAATGGCCTGGAAGTACGGCAGGCAGCATCATGCTCTTTACCCGTCTTAATTGATCCCCGCTTTCACATTCCTTTATCCTTCCTCTTAATAAGAAACTTCTAATATACAGCCGCCAAACACCAACTAGTAGTCATGGCTTTGCTACGACGATACAGCTTTTACACCTTGATGACTGCAGCCTTTGTTTACTTTCTCTATTCACTCAGTTTCCCATACGAGGTCGATAGCTCCGCGCCGTTAGTAAACACCGGTTCTGGACGAGAAGACCACCGACCGCAAAAACAGCAAAAGTACAAGTCGTTCAATTGGGCGAAAGTTCCAATCAAGAATCGCGTGTCGTCGTATATTCCGTTGCCCACGTCCGCGCCAGCCAAAATTCCCAGGATACAGTTTGATTTCTCGAAGAAGCTGGAAGATGCGACGGCAAAGAACATTCGCGAGACACGCAAAGAGGAAGTAAGGAAGCAGTTTTGGAAGTGCTGGAGCCATTACAGAGCGTATGGGTGGATGCACGATGAGATTCGGCCGATAAGCGGGGAGGTGTCGGATCACTTCGGTGGATGGTCGGCTACGCTGATCGATGCCTTGGATACACTATATATCATGGGTTTCGAGGAGGAGTTCAACACGGCATTGCCGGACGTGGAGATGATTGACTTTGGCTATACAGATATGGACAAGGTCAATGTCTTTGAGACGAACATTAGACATTTGGGTGGGCTCTTGTCGGCGTATGAACTGAGCTCGGATAAGAGGCTGTTGAACAAGGCGAAGGAGGTGGGTGAAATGTTGTACCATGCCTTTGACACGCCAAACCATATGCCGATTACGCGCTGGGACTTCCGTGCTGCAGGAGAAGGCAAGCCTCAGGTTGCGGATGAACAGGTTTTGCTTGCAGAGATCGGCTCGCTGACAATGGAGTTTACTCGCCTGTCGCAACATACAGACGACCCGAAATGGTACGATGCGGTGACTCGAGTGACAAGACTGCTGGAAGAGCAGCAAAGCAAGACAAAAATTCCCGGCATGTGGCCCATCGTAGTCAACGGGAGGAACGCCGACTTTACAGAGGACAGCGGCTTCACCCTGTCCTCCATGGCTGATTCCACCTACGAATACTTCTGCAAGATGTACGCCCTACTTGCCGGTCAAGACGCCATATACCGCAAAATGTACGAGAAGTCCATGGATATCGCGGCCGAAAAACTCATATTCCGTCCATCCATGCCCGAGGACCCGGATATGCTTGTCTCAGGCTTCTTGCGCGTTGAAGGGTCGACTGAGTTTCTGGACCCGCAGATGCAGCACTTGGGATGTTATGCGGGTGGCATGTACGCGCTTGGCGGCAAAATATTTCAGAAAGAGGAGCATGTGGCTATCGGGCGCAAGCTTACAGATTCATGTGTGTGGGCGTATAAGGCCTCGCCGGCGGGTATCATGCCTGAAGTTTCGCATCTGCTCAAATGCGCAAACACCACATCTTGTGCCTGGAGTGAAGAAGCCTGGCATGAGGAAATTGTATCAAGGACAGATGGTAACAGGGAAAAGGATCCATTGAAAAATATTGCCAATTTGCGCCTGCCAAAGGGTTTCACAGCGATTGATGATCGTCGCTATGTGCTTAGGCCGGAGGCAATTGAGAGCGTATTCATAATGTATCGTCTCACGGGTGAGCAGCAATGGCAGGCTGCAGCATGGGATATGTGGACTGCGATACAGAGGAGCACGGATACAGACATTGGGAATTCTGCGTTGATGGATGTCTCTGCGGATACTCCGCCAAGGCTAGATAGTATGGAGGTAAGTCACCTACATCCACTTGTATCTTGCTGCAACAAAGATTTCTCTTGGAGTGAATATGAGCATGCCACAGATCAAGGAGAAGAGGTAAATAAAGCTAACATCAATAACAGAGCTACTGGATGGGAGAAACACTCAAGTACTTCTACCTCATCTTCAGCGAACCAGACCTCATTAGCCTAGACGACTGGGTCTTCAACACGGAAGCGCACCCCTTCCGGATCCCGAAAGCGCACGAAAAATCAAGATTTAAACAGAAGGAGAAGAGCAAGGAGAAAAGCAAGGAGAAAAGCAAGGAGAAAAGCAAGGAGAAGTCGAAAGCGGGTCAGGGATTTCTGTCCTAGTTGTACCCATGGGACTGCCACGAGAATAACTTCTTTGATTGATTTTTATTTTGACGAGGATTGGAGATGAATTACCATGAGTGTACTTTTTTTAGGCCATTTATGGACAGATTGGCCAGGACAGCAGCAGATAACCTTGATTACAGTTGATTAGGTGACCCAGTGACGTGCAAGCATGCAGGCCAGAGCATATTGTATTCTTAATACTCCATATGTTCGATACATGTACCCTGCAAAATGAATCGTGGTTCAACACGCCAACACGTCAACGCGTTAGCACGTGACAACGCTCCACTTCGCATCTCACAACCAGTCTCCTCTCAGTCATATCACCTCTCATCTCTACACGACCATGCCACACGTTGAAGTACTCCCCAACTCCACAGCCACGGTGGCACCCGGCTGGACCTATGTTGTAGATACTGGCTACGACCCCTCCAAAGTTGCTATCAACCCGAAAAACAAGAAGCGCGCTGCCGCCGCACCCTCTGGCGCCCGTGGCGAAAACGAGCTCTCTGCACGCCAACAAACGGCTATCGCGCGGCGCATCGCAGAGTTAGAACGGGACAATGATCCAAAGCAGGTGATTCCAGTACCGGGGAAGCAGGACGTACCCAAGACGCAGAACGCGCGGAGGATTATACAGTATCAGAGGCAGATCAAACACTGGCTTGACGATGAAGAAGCGCAACTGGGACAATTAACCGCCACGACTTCGAGGATTGCAGGGACGGTCGCAAGGGGTGCTGTCAGCGCAAGTAGGAGACAGAGCATCTTCACATCTGCATCTGGGCTAGCCACGCCAGCCACGCCCGTGGAAACCACACCAGGACCGAGCACGGCACACCAACTCGACAGCAGCCACTTTAGCGACGATGCGCTTCTCTCGGTTGACGAGCGAATGCCGCCCCCGCTGGACCCGAATGAGCTCGAAACGTTGCTTTCTTCCCCCCCGTTGTCGTATGCTGCGAGCCATGCTGCGCCTCCGCCTGCAGGGGCACCGCCGCTACGCCAATTCTGCGATAACTGTGGGTATTGGGGTAGTATTAGGTGTAGAAAATGTGGGGCGCGGGTGTGTGGGTTGGAGTGTAAAGATGCACACGAAGCGACAAGGTGTTTGAAATGGGCTTGAGTAGACGGAAATATCGAGTTCATGCACGGCTGACAAGGGGGTGTGGTTCCTGTGTGCTCTGAGATGGAAGTTCCCATGGATGGTACAAGGTGTGCAGAGGGTTTGCAGGCTTGATGCAGACTTGGTATTGAACAGTTGCTATTTGGACTCCCCACTGAGCCAACAACGTCTCCCGCCCTGCTCTGGTACACTCGTCGTACCTTGTGGCCCGACGAAATGTCCATCTTCCCTATATGCGCCGTTTTGGTCGTCCAGCCTGGGATGGAACGCGGCGAGAACACGCGCACCTACTTCGAGACTGACACCACCCCATCGGCGTCCGTCACTCAACATGGTTTGACCACCCATAGAACCTAGTGCGTCCAAGGTAGCCTGGGTCTAAAATGCGGAGCGACCTGCCAGTACACGGAAACGGGGGGGCTTCTGCTCTGTAAGTTTGCGAGTAATGTCGCGCCTAGACAGTCAACCGTAACTTTGATTGCCTGAATAGTCTTGGGGGCGGAGCGGGCTTGCATGTTTGGCTGCAATGGTGGAACCGAAGGTCGCCTTGGGATTATGTGAAGAGCGCGATGCGTCACTGTGGAATACATGGACTCGGTATCAGCCTAGGTGCACTTAATGATGAATGCGAAGAGTCCAGGTATTGGTGGGATATATGCCTCATGTGGCGTCTTTGATATGTTCGGAGCGGCCAAATGTATGTTGGACTACATTGTGTATTTGTCGCAAATATCACTACCGGCAACCAAGGGTTTCGTCCGAATTGGACGTCGAGGATGAGCCACACCTTTTCAGCATATCGATGACACCAGAGCAACGAGTGCAAATTTCATCCTACCAATCAAGCAGCTGCGTACCTTGATTCATCTAATGCCCTTCTACCATTGAACCTAGAGTCAATTCTGGACTCCATCAACGCTGTCTGCGAGCCGAAGTGTTGCGCCGTCTGATGAACTAGCTTCGTTATTGCAATGACCTCCTCTCTCGCATCTGGCGTTGCCTCCTGTAAGGATCGTGATAATCTTTTGAGCGTTCGTAACTGAAGCTCGATGCTCTGAAGACATGAATGGATGATGAAAGCTAGGCTATCCGTCAGGTCATCAATGCTCCTGGACGCATTAGCAGCGATCAAATCCAGGGACGATAAGTCTTACTGATTGCCATCATCTTCTTCTTCTTTATACGCCATCTCGTTATCAATTTGAGGCCACCCTACTAGTTTCAAGTCTTTCGGCTTAGCTCGCGCACACGCATCGTCCAATTCTGCAACTTTATACAGGAGGCGTTCCAGATTTCGTGAAGCTGTCTCGACGACATGCCGTTTCTGCGAGTCAATCCTGGCCATGCTGTCCAGGCACACAATGTGAGCCCATACCTGGATGTCGAATGCGAACCCATCGACCTGTTCGGCAATCTTTGTAAAAGTCAGGTCTTGCGGGCTAGCTGCTTCCACCAGGGCGTATGTTGCGCACGTGGAACCGATATGTGTAAGCCTATTTTGCAACGCTGCATACTGGTATTGCAACTCAGGTTGTGTGGTGGGGGAATGAGGGTTAGCACTAGGACTTCTTCTTGGGGTGAGATCAGCCGGTGAGTCTAAGAAAGCGGAATTGTCTTGATGTATTTCCACCTTGATGGCAGGTCGCTTGAGTCGTTTTGTCTGATCGGTATAAGCTACTTTTGGTGGACTCTGACGCACAGGTTCAGTGATCGGATCCAAGTCGTATAAATTCCTAGGGCTGGGCTGAAACTCTTTTGTTTTATAGCCTCGCCGTTGATCATGAGCTTGGCGGATAGCGTTATCATCGTTCGAGTGAGTATTACGTATTGTCACTCCCGATCCAGATACACTAAGATAGTCAGATGTCGAGCGTTGATGATTTGTCGAAGACGTGTAGTATTTGCTATCGTGATAGCGCTTCATCTGCTTCTCACACTCCCGCCTATCCCTTCTCTCGCGATCTTCAACATCATCGACATATCCACTGGAGCGAGAGCGATGATGGCTGGATCGTCTTCCGTCAACGTCTACGGTCAAGAAAGTCGCCGACATGGTGGGGGACTGTGAATCTTGTGGTTGACCTGGGCATTGGGAAACAGGGTCGAATAAATGCATGCCCGTAGTGGACATAGTGGAGTTCACCGGTTTTGGTGGTCATTGCATTCATACAAGATATGACGCCGGCGTGCAAGACGTCAGATGGCCTGTTTGTGCGGGGGCTGCATAAGAGCAAGGCAGAAATCCTGATATCCCTACAGTGTTGTCGCAATTCTGCATTACAATGCAGTTGCTGCTGCCTTGGGTTGCTGTTGAGGGTCATTAGTGGCCAAACACCACAGATCGGTGACCATGAACTGCAGCGGCTGAGTGTATCATCCAATCCGGCTACACGGCCCTACACCAAGTTCAAAAAGCTTTGATATTTGATGATTCAATCTCCACTACACTGGGTGCGGAGTATGGTAAAATAGTGGTAAGAACCCAGGTATGTGTTCACCAGCTCTCATCCAAGTCCAAGCATACTTGCGACTTTATCCTCGCTGACCACTTGGAAGCATACATCCCATTGAAATTATGGTCTTTTATTCTGTCCAAGACTTCATGTCAGCTTTAGTCACCGCAACTCATGAGTTCGCAGGACATATTTATGCGATCTAGTCCCCAACCAGGGACACTTTTATCGTCGAGACACAAATCTATCATACTAGTACATTCGTTTCCTGAACGTCATGTTCGAGATTATAGGAGCCATATCTGGACTACACATAGCAGACGAATCCCTCGCCGATCTGGCATGGCAAACAAAAAGATGGAAACCTTTGTATGACCAGTTATTCGACATCAAAGAAGCCATGATAGCTGCCGAGCTCACACTGGAAAGCTGGCGGCACAAATTCGATATCCAAGAGCATAGACCGGTCATCTACATGCGAGTCCTCTTCGGTACGCAAGGCAACGAACGCATCGAGGCTATTTCAAGAACTATCAACGGTACTACTCGGGCTATTCGAAGCGCTATCGACACTATGATTTCCCAACCGCTCAAAGTACAGGCAATCACGACTCAACATGAACACTTGCACAGCGCTTCGGGCAAGGAGCTCCTCAGAGATTGTATAAAACGCATACAAGAGAAACCTTCCTGGTCACGCAAATTTGTCCTAAGCATGCTTGGACAAACAGAAGGTATTCAAGTCTCCATCGACAGACTTCATCACTGGATAACTGTGCTCGAGCGAAACTCGGAGTACTTCCTTGAGAAAGAGCATCCAGATATCTTCGCGGGTATCAAGAGACTCCCGGGACGCAAAAACATTCTCAAGCTCGGTGATGGTCAAATGGACAAGGCACAGAGCAAGCTACTAGAGGCACTCGCTGCTCGCAAAGATGCAGATCTCTTGCACCGGGCGTCAGGGAAGGCCAGCCAGGTTCATATTGGTTTGTCTGTACCTCAGATTCACAAAAGAGACTTTGCGGTTTTGCTTAACCTCGATGGAAGGGCACACGAGATACTTGTGCGTCCAGTCAAGATCAAGACTGTCAATGATCCTACGCGGGTGCAGGCCGACTTGGCCTCGGCCGTGAAAACTCTGATCAACAAACGTCACAACGCATGCTACATGCTGCCTTCCTCGTCTACCTCTGCTGGGTTCGAAATTAAGATGCCACCTACTCCCCTCCTATCTGGTTTAAAGTACAAAGACTCTGTGTCTACCATCATAGGCGATCAGAACACCCATCTTGGTTCCCAGAGACTCTATTCTCGCGATCAGTCAGCGCTTGCCAGCAGCGTAGTCCAAGGTTCTTTCCGTCTCATAGGCAGCCAATGGCTTGATTTCCTCGACTGCACAAATGTTCGTTGGCGAAGGACTACAGAGGGCTCATGCACGTGTATGTTGATGGCAAAACCAGGAGTATCTCCGATGACTCGCAGCCTACGACAGTGTATTGCTGTCCATCTTGAAACAAGGGACAAGCACGATCTATCGAAACATAGCCAGATCTTCCGCATTGGGTTGGTCCTCGCCGAGATTGTGCTCAAGGCGCATGTGTCCTGTATCGAACATGATAGTGCTTCGAACAGCATGAAGAAATACGTGGTACGTGGCGAGGAGATGGATGCTACCGAGGTGGCATCTGAGGTGGAGCGGAGGGGGAACGTTTTCTTGGGCAATATGGTGTTCTTCTGCCTGAGGGCGCTGCAGGACCGTAGTGTCATGGCGGATAGAGGGATTGAGAGTACATTTTTCAAGGAAGTCATGAAGGATGCGGAGAATCTTGATGTGTTGGTTCGGGAAGACAAGAAGAGAGGCATCAGTCCAGTGGGTAGTATCGGTAGGATCGGTGGTGGGTCAAGTACACCAAGGAGTGCGAGGTCGGTGGGTGGGTATTACTTCTAAGCGTTTAGGTACCTGTTGGTTCAGAGAAGAAGAAATGCGACATCTTCTTCTATCCTGTCCGCCTTCCTTGAATCCACAGTGCCTACCCAGCAGACAGCCGGGAAACGTGAAGTCTCCAGAGTCCAGGCCATGCCTCTCGTGCTTGTCTGGGCAGGATATCCCGTGACTGCAAGGGCTAGCCGAACAAGGTCTAGCGGGATAGCTTTGCTGCGGCGACAAGGGCACACAGCGCGCCCACCATCACGGCAGTATCTCTCATCCTGCTTGACCGTCTCCCAGGGTCTCTCTCTCTCTCCTCAGGCAACTGCCTGTAAGTCTGTCACCTTCTCATGGTTATACCTATACCATTGATAGCCTGTCATCATCATGCCAGCTTCAGGCTGGGCCATGTCGCCAGTACATATGGTGGTCATGCTGTCCCGTAATCTCACCACATATCTGCCTGCACCTTTGCTGCTGCTACTCTCTGATCTGACATTGGACGACGATATACTAATCGCAACACAGCAGCAGCCGTGACCCGCAGCACTACCTGTACCTACTGTACCGAGGAGTTTTTTTTTGCTTGCCCAAGATGCCTGCCATGTTGGATGATCCGACTGCTCCCATCATCTTTAGGACCTCTGGCGACACCCCATATCCCCCTCCAGGCGGTCCGCTTCCGGTCGGCATTGCGCCCTGTCAAGTCACTCTGCGCGACCGCGTCACCACCGCGACGATAATACCCTTTTCCGCGCCAAACCAGGTCCCGCTCACCCTGTTGGCCTATCTATGCGATCAGCTTGGCCGTGAGATCGACAAAGGTGACACGTATCCCATGGTCGACCCGATTTCGCTGGAGAATTTCGGTCCTTACTGGTTTGGTGTGTTTGGTGCCATCATGCTACTGGGGGAGATCCAGGATGGCCGCGAACTGCACGAGATGGCTCGGCGAGGATGTGACTGGGAGCGGGAATGCTTGGGCAGCTTCTACATCAAACCGAACTATCCTGGCCGATCTAGTCATGTTTGCAATGGAGGCTTCTTGGTCACGGATGCGTCGCGGAACCGCGGTGTCGGACGGCTGATGGGCGAGACATATCTGGATTGGGCACCGAAGCTGGTAAGCGACATGGTGCAGAATGCTCCGAGACGTGCTCACAGATTCAGGGCTACACATACTCCGTCTTCAATCTAGTGTACGAGACCAATGTGGCTTCATGTCGCATATGGGATGCGCTGGGTTTCAAGCGCATTGGACGTGTCAAGGGCTGCGGTAATCTCAAGTCCTATCCAGATGAGCTCGTCGACGCCATCATCTATGGCCGCGATCTGGGCCAGGATGACGACTTTGTGTCCGAAGAACGCTTCGACAAGATCCGCTTCTACCTGAAGAATGGCAAATATCCCAACGGGGCGGATAGGGCGGAGAAGAGCCGACTTCGAAGCGCTGCCACACACTACAAACTCACGCCTGGTGAAGGCGACGAGCCAGAGAAGCTGTGGCTCAAGGGCAAGGAAGTCATTGCAGATCCACAGCGACAGTATGAGATTGCGCGCGAGGTACATCACCAGTCGCATGGCGGTATCAATAAGACTACTGCCGCCATTGCAGAACTGTATCATTGGGTTCGCATCAAGGAGCTCGTCAGTCAGGTCATACGCAACTGTCCCCAATGCAGTGAGATGAACAAGGGCCTCTCTGCGATGCGCCAAGGCCAAAATCAAGCCAGATCTACTTCCTCATACCTCAAGAGCACCGGACAATCAGGACAGCAATCAGGACAGTCACCACACACCCCGACCCCACCCTTACAATGTCCCAACACCTCCCAATCCCCAATCCGCCCAGACTCCCCGGGCAACCAGCTCCAGCTCGAAGCCGCCGCCAACCAACAGCAAGACATGTACCCCCCGTTCAACAGCACCGTCGGCTTCGACCTCCCCGTCGATCCCGCCCTCATGGACGGCATCCAGCGTTCCAACATCACACTCGCTGACCTCCCTCCCTCGCCCTTTCTCCAACCCGGTCAAGCTCCCGCAGGTAGTGCTCCCCTCATCGGCACGCTCAATCTCTCCCGTGGAAATATGCACGACCCCTCTGCTCATTTAAACGTCGGCGCGTCCCAGGGCTTGCATGAGCGCGCGGCGCATATGAAGGATGATATCAGAGCGGGGATACATTGCGCGGCGGCGTATAGCCAGAAGTAAGTCGTAGCAGCGGGATCGATGCACTTGTAGGTGGATGGGTTGAGTTCGACGGGGCGAATCCCCGCCTGTCGGTGTAAGTATGACCTCTTTTAGACGGCCAAAGCGTCTTGGACGTTTCTTTGAAGCTGGGGTGCGAAATGCTGGTTTCGGCTGGGAATCTCGGTGCTGTGTAGATGGTCTTGTGACTTGGGTTTGTTGAAACGACTGGTTTGGAATACGAGAGAGGGTTCTATGGTGTGTCATCCAACCAAGGAGAAGAATTTCGCAATCTCACCAATTCAACGCACGCTTACTCACTGCATGACGGATGGAAAGGGAGGGAGGGATGTATACGATTCATCGAGACGAAGCGATATACAACATTGAAACCGTACAACCTCGTGACCAACCCAACCCAATTGCGCCTATAATGCCACACAATCCCCCAAACGCCATGAAAAACCCTCAGTCCTACAAAGTTGCACTCCAACTCCAGCCCCTCCACTCCTTTAAATCTTCAACCCATCCAACGCGGCCTCGACCCCCTCGAGCTCAGACCCAACCTTGCCCTTCTCCTTCTCCGCCTTCCTCGCCTTGGCCTCCCTATACTCGCGCCCCAAGACCTCCATCACCCTCCCCATATGCGCATCCTTGCCCTCACGCTGCAAATCCGCCTTGACGCGCTTAAAATGCACCTTCACAAAGTTTTGATACTCGCTCTTCGACTCTGCAGGCCCTTGTTTCCCGGACACCGTGGCAGCAGTACCATTGCCAGTAGCACTAGCAGCAGCAGCAGCAGCAGCGCCCCTTGGAGTAGGCTTAGTCTGCACAAGACGACCCTTGCACTTCCCACACGAGTGGCGCGCCGGATCCACAGACTTGCTATGGCGTTTGAATTCGTAGCCACAGACGATGCATTCCCAGACATACTTGTATTCAATCTGATAACTATGTTTCGTCGTAACCTCGACACCGAGGTGAGCAAAAGCGACCGAGGCCTTGCGGCCCCAGGCCTTGAAGTCTGCGCCATGCGGCTGGTTGCGAACCTCGCTGATCATGAAGGTGGCGAGGTGGCAGAATTCGTGAGCGAGTACGTTGTAGAGGCGATCTTGGTCGTCGATGACTTTTTCCGCGAGCTCAATGGAGCAGTGGTGGCGGATTTGGAGTCTTGTGTCGGTGGGGAGGGGACCGGTGCGGAGGCGGAGTTGCTCTCTGCGCCAGTTTGCGCGGCCGGCTGTGGTTTTGAGGGTTTTGGACCAGATGAGTTTGATGCCGCCGGTTGGGGCGGATAGGGCGGAGATGCGGCCTTGGGAGATGGTGTTGTCGAGTTCGGCGAGGAAGGAGGCGGCCATGTCGTGTTTGCGGTCGGCAAAGGCTTTGCGCTGGGCACGGATGGCTTTGACGTCTGGTGTTGCGTCGATGGAGGCTGCTGTTGTTTGTTGCTGTTTCTTCGTCGGGCTGCGTGCGGTGGGCTTCTTCTTTGGACTGGCTGTCGTAGGGCTCTCGTAGCCTTCATCACCGCTATCTTCCAGCGCGACACCTTCCATCATTTTGACAATGTCTTCGCGCCATTTCTGCTTCTTGGGCGATACAAGCGGTTTCACAGGTGAATGGTGTTCGTTCCATTCGTTGACTGCTGCGGGATTCCAGAAGTCGTCGAGACTTGGCCTTCCATGCAAATCAGTGGCTTTGGGAATGGCAGGCTTCTTTTTGGAGGGTGACACTAGTTTTGTTGGACTTGGTGGAGCGAGGGGAGGTGTTCCAGGGCGTGAAATGGGCGGGGCTTTGTGTGGAGATCGTTGTTTGGTAGGCGTTGGCGAACTATGCTGTATTAGCTGGGTGGTATCCCCGACATATCGAGTAGCTACATACTATGTGAGAATGGCAAGCGCGCCGCTCGACATTGAGCTTGTTGGCCGTGATGATGCAGCAAAAGATTCGGTTCGGGTTCTTGTGGGTGGCGGAAGGATGAATGAAGCGGGCGGTTCGGGCGAGCTCGTTAGATCGACTACCTCCTGAGCCCAGTTTGAAATAGTACTTTTTCCCTTTCTGTGCGGAGGCCGCATTGACGTGAGTGTTGGTGCTTGTTGATCAACAGCAGTTTCTTTTTGGCGTAGTGATATCGGTGGTAAAGGTTGCGGGATACACTGTTCTTTCTCTTCGTCCATCTCTTCTGACTCGTCATCGTCATCACTATCGGACACCACGCGGCGTACTGCTTGTTGACGCCGCCTCTGCTTGATCGTCACAACAGGCTCGCCTTCATCCGTTTCGCTGCTCTCCTCATCCGCCGGGCTGTCCTCTGTTTGTTGCAGTATCTCATCACCGCACAACAGACTCGTCTCATGCTCCTCCTCGGCCTCGACACCCAAGTCTTCCTCTAGCTGCTGCTCTGGTTCCTCGTCTCCCCATGGCTGTTCTGAATCCTCCTGCGTTTGGGAATCCTCTAGTAAACCTGCTCTGCCCTTCTCCGCTTGTTTTTTGGCCACACTCCTAGCCAGGCTCTTCGCATACAACAAGCCCGTCCGCTTGCCCAAATTCGTATCCATAGTCCCACTGCGCACCCTTCTCCCACGTCTTTCCAGTTTCGCCAGACTCTCCGCACTCGGCTCCCGCAATAGACGACTATTGCTCTCAATTGGACGTAGTACACGCTGCTTGCGCGGTGTCAGCGCATCGCTTTCGCACGAATGTGGAATTGGATAAGGGATAATATTATGCGATGGTGAGTCTGCCTGTCGTAATGCCCGGCTTGAGCTCTTTGGGATCAGGACTGGTATTTCGTCATCTTCGTCGGAGGAATCTGCATATCGGAGGCTGCGCGTTGCTTTTCGGGGGCTTGATCGCGTGGCTCTTGCCTCTTTCGATGGTATAGCGAAGGTCGACTCATATGGACTTGGTTTGCGAAGGCGAGCCATTGTTGTTAATCTAATTTTGGTACTGTGGACTGCGATCGCGTGCCAAAGTTTTGCCAGAAAAAATATATGATCTCGTTGGTGATCTCCGCGTGTTTGTTTGAGGTTGTTGGCTAGGAGACTGTTTGGGTCACGTGCACCCCCCACCACCCCCCAAGCTGTCTCCAAGCCCGGGCAAGCCTGGATGGCGTCAACAATCAAAGAGTCAGATCGCTTTGAGCTTAGTCCAGGAGGATGTAGGGAGTTCACAGATGTAGATGCGCTTAAAAAAAGAGAACCAGTCGTACATTGCATGCTAAACTATCACAAATACAAGCCGAACCCAACCAGATTGAGCCCGAGTGAACCCAAAAAATTTAGCCCGCTACTACTACATCCGTAGCGAAAGCGTCCAGTCGTGTCATGCTCTTCCCATCCGCTTCGAGCGGGATCATGCCTCGCCATGTCGTTAAACGTGCCTCGGGTATTCCATCCTATATATCTACATCCCCAGTAGCGAGGTTTTTTTTTGTTTTCATCTTATTCTGCTCGTGTGCATCTACTGCTTAGCGTTCTTGGCCATGGTGTTGAGCGCGCTGCCGTTCTTGAACCATTCGATCTGGCCCTCGTTGAAGGTGTGCGAGAGAGGAATGGTGAACTCCTTGCTGCCGTCGGCGGGGTGAACAGTCAGTGTGAAAGGCTTGCCAACGGCAAGCTCAGTAGCGGCCAAGTCAACGCGGTCGTTGGGGCCGATCTTGTCGTAATCCGCGGGGTCGGTGAAGGTAAGAGGAAGCATACCCTGCTTCTTCAAGTTGGTCTCGTGCTGTGTCTTGTTAGAACTTGCGCTTGTAGAATGAGTATGAACGGTGCACTTACGATACGGGCGAATGAGCGGGTAATGATGGCAATACCGCCCAAGTGCCTGGGCTCAAGAGCAGCGTGCTCACGGGACGAACCCTCTCCGTAGTTCCAGTCACCAATGACAACCCACTTGACGCCATTCTTCTTGTAGTCACGGGCGACATCGGGGACCGCACCGTAGTCACCCTTGAGGGCGTTCTTGACCTTGTTGGCCTCGCCGTTCTCAGCGTTGATGGCACCAATCAACATGTTGTTGGAAATGTTGTCCAAGTGACCACGGTACTTCAACCAGGGGCCGGCCATGGAGATGTGGTCGGTGGTGGTCTTGCCGTGGCACTTGATCAAGATGGGCAGGTTCTTGAAGTCCTTGCCGTCCCATGCCTCAAATGGCTGGAGGAGCTGCAGACGGTCGGAAGTGGGGGAGACGGCAACATTGACAGACGCACGGTCAGAAGGAGGTGCCTGGTAGGTGTCCTGACCTGGGTCATAGCCGTTGGTTGGCAGACCGAGGCCAGAAGGCTCCTTCAGCAGGAACTCGTTACCGTCCTTGTCCTTCAACTTGTCCGTAAGTGGGTTGAAGTTCAGAGTACCGGCGATGGTGAGGGCGACAACGAGATCGGGAGAGGTGACAAAGGAGTGGGTAGCAGGGTTGGCGTCGTTACGGCCAGTGAAGTTACGGTTGTAGGATGAGATGATGGAGTTGGCAGTGCCCTTCTTGACATCACGGCGATCCCATTGTCCAATGCAAGGTCCACAGGCGTTGGCCAGCACCATACCACCGAATTCCTCAAAGGTCTTGAGCTGACCATCACGCTCAATGGTAGCGCGAATCTGCTCCGATCCGGGTGTCACAGTGAAGAGGGACTTGGCCTTGAGGCCGTGGTCCATCGCGTCCTGGGCAATAGAGGCAGCACGAGTCATGTCCTCGTAAGAAGAGTTGGTGCAGGATCCAATCAGACCGACCTTGAGCTCCTCAGGCCAGTTGTTTGCCTTGACAGCCTCCTTGAATTTGCTAATGGGAGTAGCCAGATCGGGAGTAAAAGGGCCGTTGATGTGGGGTTCCAGCTCGGAGAGGTTGATCTCGATGAGCTGATCGTACTCGGCACCCTTGTCTTCGCGGAGCTCCTGGGCGTACTCGCGAGCGAAGTCACCGATCTGCGAGCGCTTGGTAGCGGCAAGGTAGTCGTACATGCGGTCGTTGAAGGGGAAGACGGAGGTGGTGGCACCAATCTCAGCACCCTGTCAAAGTTAGCATGTGCAAGCTCCTGAGAGGGACGGGGAGCAACTGACCATGTTCGCAATAGTAGCCATGCCAGTAGCACTCAGAGAGTCTGTACCGGGGCCGTGGTATTCGACAATAGCACCCGTTCCACCCTTGACGGTCAGGATACCAGCCACCTTGAGAATAATGTCTGGAGCCTCGTTAGCGAAAGTGCTTCCTCCTTGGCCATGGCAGAGTGGCTTCCATTTGCCCACTCCACCCTAACCTCGGCTATCCATGTACATACCCTTGGGCGCCGTCCAGCCAGAGAGCTGACCGGTAAGCTTGACACCAATGACCTTGGGGGCCTTGAGCTCCCAGGGGAGACCAGCCATGACATCGACAGCATCAGCCCCTCCGACACCAATGGCGGCCATGCCGAGACCGCCGGCGTTGGGCGTGTGCGAATCCGTACCAATGAGGAGAGCACCGGGGAAAGCGTAATTCTCGAGCACGATCTGGTGGATGATACCGGAGCCGGGCTTCCAGAAACCAATGTTGTACTTTGCGCAAGAGGTGGAGAGGAAGTTGTAGACCTCCTTGTTGATTTCGTTGGCACGGGCCAAGTCCTTCTCACCACCCACCTGGGCCTCGATGAGATGATCGCAGTGGACAGTAGTGGGCGTAGCAACCGAAGGAAGACCAGCCGACATGAACTGGAGAATGGCCATCTGGGCAGTGGCATCCTGGCAGGCGACACGATCAGGACGAAGCTTGAGGTAGCTGGAGCCGCGCTCAATCTCTTGACCGTGGGGGTCGTCCAAATGCGAGTAGAGAATCTTCTCGGCGAAGGTGAGCGGGCGGTTCAAGCGCGAACGGACAATGCCCAGGTTCTCGCTCATCTTCGCATAGTTGATGTAGTTGCCCTTTTCCCAGTTGGTCATTTCGACCTTGCGGGAGAGGGGAGCATCGCTGACGGTGGCCAATTGCCTGCGCGAAGCAAGACTCTGGCCAATGCGGCCGAGCCTCGAGAACTTCTGCATGGTGGAAGTGGTCGGGGGGAGGGGAGGTGGGGGAGAATGGAGAGGAGAGGGTGAGAGGAATAGAGAGAAAGCAGCAGCAGGGTAGTGGAGGAAAAGAACGTCAGAAGCTGGCACGAACTTGGCCGATAACTAATGGCGAACAGAAGCTCGGTGATTGGCTGTGCAGGGGGGACCCCAGCTGTGCTGTTCAGAGGAATACCCTCGGCGTCGAGGCAACAAGGCCGGGTGCACTGTCCCGTTGGCCCGCTTCACGTGCGGAATGTGTGGGTTTGATGGTGGATGGGAGGAAATGGAGGATTGGGAGGCTGGAAGAAGAGCGCGGGAGCTGTGTTTGTGTGGAGGACTACTACTACTACTACTACTACTACTACAAGTCAAAGGTCTGCAATGATTGAATCGTGATTTCTCTATTGTACAAGTACAGCTGGGGGGGAAGGAGGCTTACCAGTGTTGTTTTTGACGTCACGCACGGTCATAACGTTCACACACACACACACACACACATCCATACGCACAGAGAGAGAGACATACGCACACAGACACAGGTTCACGATTTACCCCGCCGTGCACTGTGCGCTGCGCTTCTTTTGGTGGCGCTCCCGCCTGACTGATTGGCGGCTATGCGATAAGAGCACACACCCACCCACCCACACACACACACACACACACACACACACAACACACAGCCGCGGGTAGTATGTACCTGGGACATAGGGATCTGTCTGCACACACAACACAATCACTTCGACACGGTATAGTCTCTTTCAGCAGCCACCATGCCATGCACATGTCCGGGCCGGGCGGGACTGTCTGCGCTCGGAAAAGCAGGTGCTACGTCAGCCAGGAGTCTGCAGGTCAGCGGAATTTTGGCTTCGTCCGCTTCTAGATTGGGATGGCTGGAAAATCTCTGCTGGACCTGGAGACGTGCTCGTGGCCCGTGCCAGGTCTGCAGGTCTGCAAGTTCGCAAAAATGCTCGTGAAATCGTCTCCACTCGAGCTTTGCCTTGCACCCGCAGAGTATTCAACACTATTCTGCGCAGTATACCCGACGGCCGCGGATACTTCTGGACTGCTCTTCAGCCCCTCAGCCACCCTCCCCCCCCCCCACACCCCTCCCACCAACCACCATGCCTGCCATTCGAGGACAAGACAGTAAGAAGAAGACGCGTCGCCATACCCGCGACCTCGATCAGATCCATGCCGACCTGCGCGACGAGAAGCATCTGGCAGAATTCAAGCATGCAAAGCCCGTAGAGGATCTGCCTGGCCTGGGCCAGCACTACTGCAAGGAATGCGCAAAGTTTTTTGAGAGTGAAGCCAACTTTGTCGCACATCAAAAAGGCAAGGTGCACAAGCGGAGGTAGGTGGTCGCCAGTCTCGCAGCCATTGGAAAATGGGGAGCTGACAAGAATCATGTAGAGTAAAGGCCCTGCGCGATGCGCCCTATTCCCAGAAGGAAGCAGAGGCTGCCATAGGCCTCACCACCGACAACGGAAAGCGCACCACCACCTCGATGGAAGTCGACAACATCGCAGCAGCCACTTGGGAGACTGGTAGCCGAATCTGATATCAGCGCACGACCCAAGAGGGGACATGGCCATGATGTAGATGCGGATAGTTGGCCAGCAGTCGGGGAGAGCTATAGCATTTTTGGGAGGCTGGCTAGAAAACAGGCGCAAGGTGGGAGGATCGGAGAGGAAGCATACCCAAGGCATAAGCATTCTACGGCGTTCAAAATTGGTTTGCATATAGAAAGGCACAAAAGTGCAAAAATGATACCCCCATCCACTTGACGACCATGGCAAGATCCATCGTTCTGTTTTCGCTCCATGTGATCACGGCCTGCATGCATCACTTGTGAAGACCATCACGACGACATCCATTGAATGCACTAGCAGCAACACGCGTAGGTTGCATCAACAAACCCGATTAAACACTAAAATAAGCCAATGAAATAATAACCAAAGTGACGCATCCATCACATCCATCACATCCAACCAAAACCCCACTTCATTGCGCTGCAACCCCAGGCTTCGACATTTTCGGACGCCTGAAGCTGTCTGATGGCTACTAGTTATCTCGGCTAGTTTGAGAATCACGTTACTTGTCTTGTGCCATCAAAATAGCCAGGATGTAGCAGTGGCAAATCACATGATACTCAAACTACCCGAGCGCATGAGTACCTATGCTACCTAACCTCCTGCTACCTAACCTCCAGCTACCTACCTACCTAATCCCCTTCCCCCTTCCCCAAGAAAGCCACCAACTCATGAACCCACACCACACCATGCCCTCCCCGTAACAACCCAATCCAACCCAACACAAACCATGCAGAACAATCCCGAATCCTCCCCGCCATCCATGTCCTTCACAAACACGCCCCTCTACGGCGGTGCCATAACCCTCGACATCCCCTCGACCTTTGCCGACGCCTCGTAAGTCCACAACCCCCCGCGCCACTACATCTCCATCCCTCCAATCCTCCAACCCCAACCCCCAACAAACAAAACACAACAAATACAATGCCAACCCAAATCCCCCCACACACAGCCAAATCCGCCAAATCCCCGACCACCAAGAAGTCTACCTCGACGCCGCGGGCTACGCCAGCATCGTCGTCGAGATCCTCGAGTATGTAGAGCAAGGGAGTGACGAGGCGGCACTGCAGTTTCATTTTGGAGAGGTGGTGGAGGGGACGGGGGATGCGACTACGGTTTTGGAGCAGAGGGTCGAGGGGATGAGGGGGATGCCGTGAGTCGATTTTTTTTTCTTGTCTTTTTACGTCTTTGGGGGTGTTTTCTTGTGGTTGTTGGGGGGAGTTGGGAGTTGGGGGTTTATGGGGATGGGAATGGGGGGTACTGCTTGCATATGTGCACTTGAGCGATTACTACACCCATCCATGGTTGGGTTTCTGGTTTCAGAGATACCT